TGGTTACTATAAAACATGAGATAAATGGTAATGTAACTGGGATTCCATGATTTCAGTGCTGATTACGTAATATTGGTGCCCTGTATAATACTGTATCCCTGAGAAAATCCTTCTTAAACAGCGGGTTTTTTCAGCAGGTGTTGGGACACAGATTAAAAAAGAGATGATTTCATAAGCAAGAGGGGAAATTTCAAAGTAAAGCATCCGGAACAACAGAAAGGGAGAAAGAGATTTGATATGTGCATAAGTGTTACTGTAATCGATTTAGGTGTAGTTTTGGACATTAGGACGGCTGTGCTCATTGGGTGGGGTGTAGTAGAGACACTTGAAATTGTTCCTCGGGAGTCTTGATGAGAGGGTGAGTGAGTTTGGGTGGGAATGAGCTTCACAGTAATCAGACACCACCACTGTTTCTCTCCTGCCCTGCCCTGTCTTCTTCCTGTGTGTGTGCCAGACAGCAGTTGATGGCCAGTCATGCAGCTCTTGGCAACATGATGGCAGCAACAACAACAGCATCATACTGTGTGCATCCTGCATGTTATTCTGTGTATATGTTATATGCTTATGAGCACAGACAAAAACTGTGTTGCAAATACAACAAAACCTGCACCATAGAATTTCACCACAAAGTTACATTTCAGACATTTAACAAACGCTCTAATAAAAAGTGACTCATAGCATTAGTGTTACTGATGGCCTCCTAATGGCCCTCTAATATTGAGAAATAATGAGAGTATTAAACACATTTTAAAAGGCTTGGTTTGGCCACGGCATAACAAAACAGTTTTTACATGCAGGGGACAAAGTCACATTTGGACACACAACAACAGATTTTTTTCTGGACATCCACACGCAGCAGTGACCAAGATGAGGTCAGTGTCTCAGCAAAACCCCTCTCTGCTCATAAATCAAGGCACAACTTGTCAGCAGTGTCCACTTCATTTGCAAGAATTTGGCTGATATTTCAGACCATTGCTAAGAGTGTACGTGAGAATACTCAGAATAGAGGCACAGGGGAACAGACACCTAAATAGCAGCTGCCAAAAGTCTCCAGATAAATGCTCTTGTTATTCCTTGAGAGACAAGCATCTACTATACTATAACTGTCCTGAACCTCCTGTGCAGTCCTGGTAAAGGCTCCCAGTTCTACACATACTATGCATCTATCCAGCAAAAAAGCTTTTGAGCTGTATTTGTCATTTTTGCATTTAATAGTGCAGTTAAGAATGTCCTCTATTTGCACTTGTGGTCCCCAATCTGGAAAATGTCAAAAATAAGTCGTATAATAGTCTTGCAAGGATGCCCGTATGTTGTACTATGTTTTTGGCTAATAATTTCAGTAGGAGTGAACTACACAAGCACAGAAGAAATTATTAATAGGCCATTACTAGAAGTAATGTATTTTATTTTTTAACAAAGTTTAGTATAAACCCCTCCCTTGAACATTGTCAGCAATTGTAACTTTATATATTTATATATAGCTTTATTATAACAGTAACTAGACACAGAAGGCCTGTCAAGGTTTGGATTTCTCCACATGTTGAAGCGGTTTGCATTGGGCTGTAGTAAGAAAGATTGGAGGGTGGTGTCTTTTTATGCTGCAAACATCAGCGTGTCTACCTAAACACACTGTGTTACTTCGAGGCCAAGGAGGAGTATTCTACATTATTTTGTGGGGTTAGAGGTTATGTTAAAAAGCTTCATTAATGATAGTACATCACCTGTATAGTAGCCTTTTCACTGTGTGGAACCTGGTGGATATTACTATAATATAGCATAGGTTAATGTTAGCAGCTCTGTCTTGCTCTTTATTAGATTTGGGGATAGACTCCCAGCCAAACTCATTATCCCTGATCGCATTACGTTCGCCAAACACATCGGTTAGTCCTTATCGTGAAGACCTTTCTCTTGTATGCAAAAAAGTGAAACATAGGGATTGAAAACATAATACAATCTAAATCAAACCTCTGTCTTGCTTGTCAAAGCAAATGAGCAAAGCATCCAAAAAGAGTTATGTTAGAATGACAAGGCCGATTCGGACCAAATCAGGAGCTCTGGCGAAAACATTCCCTCCTTTCTTTCTTCCAATTTTGAATGGGGGTAGTGCATTTAGACTGCAGCGGTGAAACAGAATCGACTTTTGGAGAAACACAACCTGACGTCATGTTGCGGTGGCCAATCATACCGATCAGACTTGTCAAACTGCTCCACAGTCAACCTGAAATATCACTGAAACAGGCGCTATATCCCAGCTTCATTGTCTGTGTCTGGCCTGCAGTCTATGCTGCAAAATAGCGATACAAGAAGCTTATTTTGGTTTGTGTCCGTACAAGAGAGAAAGACAGAGAAACAGCTGTGGTCGAGCTTCATAGACAGTAAATGACAGAGAGAGAGTGCCGCGAGAAAACTGGTTAATCAGATAAATTAAACGTTATTTTCTGATTGTTTCATGGCCGTTACGCCTACCACCTCCCCTGCCTCACACACGCGCACAGTATTGCACAACCCTGCGACAAATCACTACAACACCTGATTTGGTCTGAAAGTGGGCTGAAGTAGCCCGGCAATGCGAGAACAATCCTGTTTCTTTCCATATGTTCTATATGGCTCATCAACATGATGACTTTCCACTATCCATCTTTTCTGTATCTTGTACTGGTAACCTTCTTTTACTGGACTTATGTAGGCCCAAGAGATCAGGTCTACGTGATATCTTTGAAATTATTACTCCAAGTACACATGCAGAAAATGCACCCAGGGGAAGTAATACCTCAGCAACAGCTGCTGTAGGAATGACACACTGCTTCACTGTTGGTCACTACACAGATTTGATCGGTATTTAGAGGTTCTGTGGCCAATAACCTGCTATACTGCTATGTAAATGCTATACAAAGTGTACCCTCAAAAAATGTCTAACCAGTAATTCAGCTTTTTTATACTGCCGTGTAAATGTATTTCAGTGCCCTATGGCTTAAAAAAAACAAAAACATTTTCATGGACAAACTCTCAAGTTCCCCCTTCATTAAAATCAGTGTTATCCCAAGAGTTTCTCTCACTGATTTGTTTTCTGGCCAGAGTTTTACCCTTCATGACATTGTCCAGAGCCACACAGACAAGGGAGGGACATTTCCCCTGCGTGTATGTCTTTATGTGTGCGTGTGTTCGTACATGTCTTGTCTGTCAACGGGCGCACCACTCCCTATGATGTCCGCAGCGTTGGACCATGTTGATTGATCTTTGATCCTCTGCCTTGGCCCTGTGTGTCAGGGTATAGACAGTGACCGAACCAAGTGAGCTGAGCCAAGATCCCACAGAACCACACCCTGAAACCACAGAACCATTAGTGGGTCTCGCTCCCACTCTCTTTCTGCATGGTATCGTCATACATCATAGAAAAATTAGTTAGTGCCAATCTAAGTGACAGCAGTGACATTATACAACTTCGAGAAAAGCCCTCTTGGCCACAGCAACCTGGAAGTGAATCTCAAAGTATGATAACATGTACTTTGGTTCCCAACTGCAAATTAATCTTGAGTTTGGTTCTGGTGCATACTTGTGGAAAAAACTATCTGAGAATCACCAGGGCTTTAATGAACCAACATGCCTCATCCATTAAGCTGGCAATGTATTTTGCATTGAGCAGAGTTTCTTATACTACGCACAAGTGATGTCTCTAGTGGGTCTTGATAGAGCTGGAGAACCAGCAATCTGTTCTGAGCTTGGGTCCCACAGTGATGCTACATGTGAAAAGGTTTACAAGACCTTGGCCTGCTGTATTAAACAAACACAGAAGCTAACCATTTCTGACAGATGTTGAGGTATCATGCTGAACTGGACACGAACAGAATATCCAGTGGAACTTCCCCTTCTTCCCCATGTCTTGCACGAATATTTTGGCCAAAATGTAAGTTATTTTTCATTACATGAGAGGAAAATTTCATCATTGTAGAACAGGTGCTTTACTGGGCTGGGAAAGGGTGGAGAATACAGTCGGTGCTGCCTGACACGATTCATTCACTTTATTATGAGGAGATAGTTTGGGAAGTTCGGAAGAGTTGACTCAACCAATAAATAGCTCTTTCTGACACTGCATGTCTAGAACTTACAAAACAGATGTGTAGGTGTTGTAGACCAGTAACACATGGCAGTCAGGAGGAGGAGTGAGGGAGGAGGAAGGTGAAAAGGACAAAAGGTCAGAAGAGTAAAGCAGAGTAAAGGATATTAAGACAAAGTAGAGAAAATACTTAATTATTATGCTGTCCACAAGACAATCTCCTCACTGGTCACATGGTGAGCTCAAATAACTACATCAACCTATTTGGCTGGTGGCCACTACAGCTGCCTCCTTAAGTTCCAAACATGAACATGCATGTACAGAATGCTGAGCTGTTATGGCCAACAATGTCACATACCCTACAGTACTTCCAGGGAACACCAAATTAACAACTGAATAATTGACATACCATGACATACCTCAAGAAGTCTAGAAGGGCCAAATATTCCGTCTTTTTCCATCCAAAAGTGCGTATCAGGAAAATATGAGGAAATGTCTGCGAGAATAATTTTTGAATAATGTCCAGATTGAGAGCCAGTTAAGTGCAAATTTGATGAGATCATTCACAAATGTTGAAGCCACAGATGATCACTGACATCACTAAGGTTTGAGTTGAATGAGTCGTGATATTTAAATCACAGAAACTCTAACTGCTCTGTAAGGCTTTGGCACAGCTAAATGCTGAACGCTAATGTTAGCATAAACCAAAAGACTGCACAAATTATATACTGTTTCATTTTGACCTAATGATGACACTAATGAAAAGTCGGTAGATCATTAAAGTGCAATTCATCCTGAGGGAAATGTGATGTCTATACCAAATTCTATGGCAATCAATACAATAGTTGTTGAGACATTTCACCAAAAATAATTTTGCTAGCAAGACTATATACAGATATGATTGTATCTATATATATATTATATATGAAAGAGCAGAGGGACTGACCTGGCAGGACAGGGTTGGGTGTTGCAGGGCATCAGTCCAGTAGCTGGTCTTGATCTGGGATTGCAGTAGGATGTATTCACTTGCACTCTCAAGTCTTTGTAGCAAGCTGACTTGGTGTTCATCTGGCCTGTATGGGTTATATATTCAGGCAAATCATTTGAAAGCAACATGTTGTTGGTTTATGTGAAACTTGAATCCCAGATTCACAGATCCCCTGGTTGGTATTTGGCCTTAGGCATGGTCAATCTGCACATCTTAACTCATACAGGTCGGTTAGTCAGTCACACTCTTTAATAAAGCAAATTACCCCAAACTCATCATGGCCTACAATCAGGACACAAAGAGGTGGAGGTGGTTAGGGTGGACCGCAACAGACCAGGGTGGGGAACTTTAACCTCCGGTGTCAATCAATAGGAACTCTACACTGGGGGCTTTGTTCACACTCATGAAGGCAAGCAAGTGCATACACACACACACACACACACACACACACACACACTCTCATGCACACATATGCACCTTTGTCCATTGACCGCCAGCCTCAACTCACCACCCCAGGGTCTGCCCAGGTCATTACAACAATCTTTTGCATGTGTGTGTGCTCGTTTAATACTAGGCCACTGGTCAAAGCCATGCATGTGTGTGCTTGCTTTAGCAGATCTGTTTGTGTGTGTGTGTGTGTGTGTGCATGTAATTGCAGGTCTGTAGTCGAACAAGAGGAGGTCCCACCAGTCCCAAACAAGAGCTACTAATGTCCCCTCAGTAATGATGGGAACGCTCCTCTGTCCATTTACCTGCAGCTATAGGCCTTATTATAGATCAGAGAGGTCAGACTGAGCTTTAGATGCTGGTCCAGATTGAAGATCTAAAGGTAATCTGTCCCTTTTCATCAACACAATAGACTTTGAAATAATCTTAGAATTCAGAAACAAAAGTTATTTCTTTAACGAACCGAAGAACAGCTAACTGCACAACAGATTTGATGTGACAACAAAAGATGAAAAGGACTAAACTACACCTTGAACACATTTCAATTTGGAAAGGAATACGCATAAAATTTTATACATACCTCCAGCACATGTTGCTGAACACCGGGCGCGTATGATGGCCCATGTATAATTGTGTTTGATGTGATTCCTCTTCTCATCAGCTTTCTTCAGAGTGTATTCCCAGCGTACACCTGGGTTCCAGCCCTGCAACAATATCTACAGGGGAAAGAATGTGCTAAGAACGATGAGATGAAGGACAACAAAAAGTGTAATATATAATCAAGGGAAATAAAGAAAGTGAGTAAACATGGAATTCGGAAGGGGAAATGGAAGTCATAGGTATTAAAAAAACATCCTAATATATTCTTACTGACTACTCTACTACTACTCTTTGTGTTTACTGATCCCTTACCTCTATGACCAGTGTCTCATTGGTTGGGCCAGTTGATATGAGGCTCTCTGGTCTGTTGTAAGGTCTCTTGTACTCAAAAATGGCTCCAGCGATGGGGTGTCTGCCTGGCCAGTCCACTGTCCAGTGTCCATTCAGGTAGTAGCGTCTCTGGGTGTCCCTGACTGCCAGGTAAGAGCTGGACGTGTTCAGTTCCATCACACGGATACTCCGAGCCCCTGCTGGGATGGTTACCACCCCATAGTACTCTGAGAAAGAGTACAAAACTTTAAACAAGCAATAAAAAAGCTGCACAAAAATCCGTCCTAACTAAACTGATTAAACAAAACAGAATTGAAAGAACTAAGCCACACACTTGTAGCTATGTATGAGCTATAAAATGATTAAATGATGTTTAAAAAAAACTTTCAGTATAGGGGATAAAGAACAGATATTTTGAAATGCCTTAAATAAAACCACTAAAACCAATGAACTCAACATGTAACTACTCTGACTTACGGTTAGTGTAATGCTGCTTGGTGTACTGTCCTTTGTAGATCTTGCAGGTGGAGTTGTCTCCTTGACACACCCCGCAAGCATCAGGCCCAGCTGTAGAGCCCAAAACACGGTCACAGCCCACTCTCTATGGAAGAAAAGTAGTTGTGAAAACAGCACAGCAAGGGTGTCTATTGACGTTCTCTACTGCTAAATCCATTCTCAAAATGTATAGCTCAACTTCGACTTCAAGACTTCACATACGATATCATCTTCAAAAAAAATCTGGGGCTAACTCAGAATGCTTTGATATCATGCTTCAACCACTGTCTCAAAGTTACTGTCTCATTGCCTGACATTTAAAAGTATTACCTCACACAGTCCGTCAATACAGACATTAGAACTGTCCTGTGAGCAGAGTGTCCCATCCTTAACTTTGCTGGCCAGGGCAAAGAAGAAATCGTAGCCTTCAGCAAAGCAGTACAGCTTACATACATCTTGATCTGGGAGGAAAGAAAATAACCAAAGGGGCAAAATGTTAACTACCATGACAAGGCTAGTTGGTATTAGCCTCCCCCAGAATTTGTCTTTAATCATTTCAAATCTTTCTTCCTGAGTAATTTTGAAAATGAATGGAACAATTGTCTCACCATCCACTCTGGTGTATGGCCTCCAGGTGTAGTACCATCCTCTGAATTGTTTGCTGTTGAACTCAGCACACTGCTGCGCTCTGTAGTCAATGGTGTTGAGGGGACAATCCTCAGTGTTACAAAGTTTGTAAGACCTGGAAGAGCCCTCACAGAACTTCCCTCCAAATGCAGGTCTGCAGAGAGGGATTGAGAAATATGTCATCAAAACAGATCTTATTCAGTATTTCAGTAGCAGTATTATCAGTCCCAGTGGAACACAAGCGTCCTGCTCACTGTTTAAGTGAGGCTTGCACACGAATCAGCAACATCTGTGTCACTTTTGGTTGTATCCCAGTCTTTCTAATGTAAAATGAGGCTGTACAGAGTTAACTAAGAAGCTGCCTGTGTTATTTGTTGGATATTCTGTGAACTATTCACATTCAGGGTGTTCAGTCTTGAGCTCTGTGCAGTCGGAAAGGTTAGTATGCGTTATCAATTTTAGGAGGTAGGTAGGAAAATGAGAAAAATAGTTTACGGCCTGGTACTGAAAGGTTGTGTGTTGTGTGTGTGGGTGATTATATGTGATGTTTACAGGTGAAACAAGAAATACTGAGAAAGAAAAACACTTTTGTTGCATTTGATGTGATTGAGCAAAAAAGTGTTAAATTACCAATAACATTGAATTTCATTGTCTTTGTACTGGCATGATTTGGCATATGTGAGTATGCTTGCCTGTATATTTGGCTGTGTGTGAGTGTTGTGAAGGCTTCTCCATTCACATATGTATATCCTCGGGCAATATTCCCTAAAATCCCTTCCACAGGACAATTACACCTTCTATAACCCCTCCAATCACATTGTCACCTATCTCTCTCTCACTCTCGGATTCTCTCTCTACCCATCTCTGCATTTCATCTTTCCCTTTTTAAATCCCTCTCTCTGTCATTTTCTGAACCCCCCTTTCCCTCCCCCTTCCTCTCTTCCACCCCCATGCCTGTCTTTGTCTTCCTTACCTACCACCACCACCATTCCTCCTCCCTCTCTCTCTCCTTCTCCTCAACACCCTCTGTCTAATTTAGCTCGCCACTTGTCAGGATCTTGGCATAGCATGATAAAAAGGAGGCCCCAGCATTTGGGATAGGGCCCCCTTACTGACTGGCAGTACAAATAATCCTGAGTGACTGATGAGCAGGGGACTAAGTGAGCAGATAAGTGATGAAGCGACAGACCCATGTGAGTGATCTTCACTATTTTAATCACGTGTCTTTATATACTCTTGGCCTTGAGTCAAGCAATCGGAAACAGTACAGACCCTCTCCATACCAAAGCATCGTCAGTTGATAAATCCTTAGTAAATCTTCTATAATAACTAATTAAAACAGTTTACTGGCCTACATTTTATGCTGTTCTCACCTTTGCTAGTGTGCACTGCTGTATGGGATTGTTATTATGTGTATGTCATGCAGTCTATGGTACATCTCTACCTGGGGTTGTTGCATTGCCTCTCTCGATAGGTGACGCCGCTCTCACAGCTTCGCGAGCAGGCAGACCAGGACGACCACTCTGACCACTGGCCATGCTGGGGCCTCGGGCCCTCGTCGCCCTGTTTCACACACTGGCCCCTACGACACCACTAGAGAAAGAGAGAGAGGAGGGATTATAAGTGGAACAGAGGGTGGAAGAAGAAGTGAAGCGCACACAAGCAAAGAATCATAAAAGTGTCAAAAACATACAGACTTTCCAACGGACCCTGCCCTTTATCTTCTTTATGATGACTGTCTGTCAAACTATAGAAGAATTCTCTAAGATATAGCTTTCAGGTTTAACTGCTGTCAAAAAGGTCGTGGTCTATTCCTGGTTACATACTCACAATCTATCAGTGAAACTCCAGTTGTGCTGCTTCTTGGACAGTTTCTACCTTGAGCTGTCATCAGCTAGAATTAACAGAGCTAAGCCAAACACAACTGAAATGTGGAAAAACTGTCTCATACCTGACAGGGATATTCTCCAAGTGGAATAATAGACTTACCATTGTTTTGCACATAGTTGCATTTCATGTTGCCCTATACTGTATTTAACCTTGTTTTCTTTTCAAAAGAAGTAAAAGTAAAATGTTTCACAAAAAAACAGGTTGAAATAATGTTGCCAACAATTCATAAATCAATACACTACTACATGGTTCTTCACTGCCGAAAAACATCTTTTTAATCAATTTTAGTTCTGAAACACTAAAAAATCTGCCAAGGCACTGAGGTAATTTGTTTCCAGTGCAGCTCATCTGTATGGGTGGGGTATCAGCCTTTTGTGATTTGTTTATTAGTTGGTGCCTATATGGTGTCTAATTTTTTTAACTGGCAGATTTTTAATACATTTTCCATTGTTTTTCCAATGTTCTCCCAATTTAAAAAGGCAAATTCCCCTTACATCTGGTTGTTGCAAACTTTTACTCATGGCCTGGAGAGTGCAGAGAGTCATGTGCACACATGAAATCACCAGCTGCTTGTTTTTACTCTACTGAGAGGAGCTTCATTGGGGTTCACAGTTACCTCCTCATGATATTACCACCCCTCTGCACAGCGGCCACCCTGACCAAGCTGCTTTCCATCCACACACATTGCCAAATATGTTCCATGAGGCAGAAGAGGAATATTAAACTATATGGCAAGTTATGCGAATACAGTTTGTCTGTAGCGTGTAAGAAGATGCTACAGGACACAAATGAAATAATGAAGTTATTTCCTGTAAGCGCCTAAAAAAGGCTGAGTCATTAACCAATCACATGTTCCAAAAGGAGCAGTACTTCACTCAAAATCCCTAAATGTAATGTGAGAATATACTTTGTGAAATCTAGACTCACTTAAAGCAACATTATGTCACAAGCTGTTTCCTGGCACGGGCTTGAACTGGATTTGTACATGTCAAGATGACATCAGTCACAATATACTCAGTTTATACGCAATATGCTTGCCTTGGAGTGATCTCAAGAACACACACACACACACACACACAACACACCACACCACAGCAAAATCCTCCTGCAGAGCAATCAACCCACCTAGGCATGGCATTAGATGATCGAGTTTTGGGGGCATATATTTTTGTTCTTGTTTACCTGTGTGGTTCAATGACGCCAACAGAGCCACACAACACACTCCTCCGCACTAAACCGTCCATAGTCCTTGACTAAGAACTAGAACAGCTGATTCGTCCACCTCGCCAGTTTGTCCTGCCGGCTGAGCGTGCCATGGTTCTGAAGTGAGCGCTGCCGTCATCTGTTCTGTGTTCAGAGCGCCGTTAAGTTGTCCCGCCCAGTGTAGGCGAGAGGCGGGCCGGGACTTCCGAACAACCATGGCAAGCCGTTCGAGATATGATTGAGCACCCGCAGCCGACGCAACATGGGTCGACCGAAGAGCGGGCTGTCAGGGGAGTGAGGGTAAGGAAGAAGCCCGCCGACAAGAAACGCCGGCTCCGTGGGGGTTGAGAGCTCGCACCTCTTCAACAGAAGTGACGCCGCGCGAGAGCCAACAGAAGTGAGCCAAAAAC